GGCAGAGAGAGAGATATGGACAGAATCAGGAGTAGAAATCTCAGTGACCCTTTTCCAAACTTAGGGAAAAAAACAGGGCAAGGCCACACGGTCTAGTCAAGGTATTGCCTGTTCCTACATTTCTCAGACTAGAAGCTGTGTTTGGCTGAGAAAAATCCAGGCATTGCCACCTTCTCCCATTTGATGAGGAACAGATCCTGGCCCCATGGTGCAGCTTGGTGCAAAACAGGTTACTGCATGTGATAAAAATGCGGTGTCCTCTGGAAAGGGAGCCATAAACCAAGGACAACACAGTCAAACACCAACACAGGCTTGCCCACTGAGGGTGTTCTCCTTTTGCAGTGCATGCAGGCATAGGAATACAGGTAGGAACTAACCCCAAACACACACACACACACTGTCTTGTACGACTTCTCTGTTTCACTTCCTCCTCTTTCCTTTGCTTTGCAGTTCCCGTGCAGAAGCCAGTGTTACAAAAGCTGCAGGGATCACACACACACACACACACAGAGAGAGAGAGAGAGAGAGAGAGAGTCTCCCTGTATGAGCCTGCTGGAGTCTTAAGATCATTATCAGATTTCCTTTCTCTGGATCCCACTGCCCTCCCAGGTGTACTTGGTAAGGGACGCAGGAAAGGGCCTTCCCGGTGGCTCCTCCAAGACTCTGGAACTCTCTGCCACTGGAGGCCAGGCTGGTCCTCTCTTGGCCATCCTTCTGCAAGCTGCCAAAGACCTCTCTCTTCAGGCAAGCTTTCCCTGAGTGACCGGCTGCTGGAATGGGATCTTTAGATGGGTCGCTGTACCTTACTGTTTTGTTGATGTTTTGCCATTCGTCATGTTTTCCAGCCCGGCCTTTGTTTGATCCTTATAAAACATTCGTATATTCCCGGTGGTTAGCTTTAATATTACCTGCTAATGATATAAGTCGCCTTGGCTCCTTGTAAGGAGAAAGACGGGGTAGAAATATCCATCTTTCTGCAAGCAGCCAAAGACCTCTCTCTTCAGGCAAGCTTTCCCTGAGTGACCAGCTGCCGGAGTGGGATCTTTAGATGGATCGCTGTACCTTACTGCTTTGCTGATGTTTTGGCATTGCTCATGTTTTCCAGCCTGGCCTTTGTTTGATCCTTTTAAAACATTCGTATATTCCCGGTGGTTAGCTTTAATATTACCTGCTAATGATATAAG